CCACGCTGTCTGTGATTGATTGGTTCTGTCTTTCAGCATTTGCGTGTGTTCCGATGAGCAGGAGAAATGGTTCTATCCAACACAATTATTCGCTAATATAGTCTATTTTTCCACTTAGAAGCTTATTTTATGCACTGAATTTCTTGATAAATAAAATTAATGTTTAAAAATGCACTTTAGAATCAATATTTTTATGTGAGGATCGATCCTTTCGATACAACATCATTATCAAAAGTATCGATACTTAAGGATCGATCCGCCCATCCCTAATGAAGATCGCCAAATAAAGGCTTGGATTTGGGTCTGTTTCTCACAGTCGTATGGATTCGGCAGATTTGGATTACAGTGCACGAATAAAATGTATTCATTTCGTAATTATGTTGAGTTTTTGGTGTATTTTATAGTTCTATTGTCAGTCACAGCATGTCGGAAAAAACGCCGTTTGTGGCCCATGGCAAACAAAGTAAACATTACATGACAAGTAAAGGTTAAACGATTGCAGAAATGTTATTTATTTTAAGGTTTAAAGTAAAGTTTTGTTTAACATTATGTAACGTTAGGCCTATTCTTGGAAACGAGCTGTCAGCAGAAATCACACAACAAAACGAAATGTTATCATTTAATATTAAGTAAACGAGTAAACAATTTAAAAATGCAATTGAAAACAAGGTAATTGATATGACAACTAAAAACAACTAATAATAAAATTAATGCCACAATTTCAATATTCATAAGGATTCATTTTTAGGTGTCGTCAATACATCAGTTTTGTACATTTAAATGCTGAAAATACGTAATTATTTGTACGTTTAGATGCTGAAAAAACGTGTATTGTACGTTTTAGTGCCTGTAAAAACTTAAATAAATGTACGTTTTATAGAACCACATTTTACATAAAATACATACGAATTGTGGTTCTTATTTTCATCCTTGTTCAGTTTGTCTCCTGTCCTGTCCAGTTTGGGTTTATGTTGTATCTTTGCCCACAAATGTTTGATTCTCTCTCAGATATGGTTGTCTTCTTGGACTTCCTACTGCTGCTATCTAAGTCACCACTGGTACCTTCGCTATGTTTTTGACTTCTGCCTGGCCCTGACTATCCCTTCAGACCTCTTCTAGCTGACTGGAGTTTGGTTTGGGACTACTTGTGTTAATTGCCTTTCAATAAACTTTCTGTTCAACATTTCTGCTCTTGAGTCTTTTCTTAATACAGAACCTGACATCATTTTCATTGCATTAGAATAGTCGTAATATTTTTAACTTATGGTTTCCACAAAAGAAAGATAATTTCATCAGCTCGTTTAAAGATGGGAATTTAATGGAGAAAACAAATCACAGAAATATCAAATGAATGAAATTTAATGTTAAAGAACAAGAAGTCAAAATTAAATCAATTATTCCCTTAACTAATAATAATCCACCATACTATATTCTTCTATTTCATCAGACTGACGGGCTGACAGAGGTTGCATTAGTTAAAAATGTTCCATAACGTACATAAATGTAAAGAACTTTGGCAGATAAATGAATATTTTAAAAAGTATATACTGTATATATATATATATATATATATATACACACACACACACATATTAGGGATGCACCGAAATGAAAATTATGGGCCAAAAACCAAATATTCTGGATGCACTTGGCCAAAAACCGAAACTGAAAATTATCATAATTTTAATTATATTAATTTTAATGATACTGAATAAAAAAAATTAAAAAAAACACACAAGCCAATAAAATAACCACACTTTTAGTGAATGTAATAAAATTGGACAGAAAATATATTAAAATTCAATATCAATATATTATTTTTATTAAAAAGTTTTATGCATAAAACTGTTTTATGCAACAGAATCAGATATAAAACATTTTTTTGACTAATTATCTGAATAATGTATATTCCTACAAAGCTATTATTATCAGAGCATGTGAGCAGAGCAGAGCATCACGAGAGAGTAGCGTCATTTTACCAGCGTGGCCCAGTGCAGCTGTACTACAGCATGTTACAGCACAGTAAGCTATACTAGACAGAAATGTCCAGCTGGCGCGTTATTTGAGCGGACTTTTTCCAGTGAGCATGAGCAGTACACGAGCAGACCGCACATTCAAAAATTACACTATATTGATGTGTCCATGCCCAGTAGCCGCAGCTGTACCTTGTAGCCTTAACAGTTTTTTCTCTTTTGGCCAAAAACGGTACATCCCTAATAT